GAAAGTTACACCTGTAAGAGTCGCTGCTCGTCGTGCTAATGAACTGATGTGCATTATTCACGTTATAATTATAATATTAAAAAAACAATACATTAATTGACAAATGTTTACGGAAGCATGGGGGGAGGGGGTAAGAGCTTAGCTTACTTTTGCTGACATGGGGGATGGGGGGGTAAATAATTGTAATAAATCTGCTTACGTAATACTTGAACGGCCCCTAACCGTGTCGAACTTCGTACATCCAGAACTGTCCGATACGACCGCTCCTTTGTCTCTAGGGTATCGAGATTGTGGAACAATTTACAAGAGGAAGCTTTTCCCTTTTCTACTACCCTTAGGTAGTGCAAAAATCAGATTAACAAAATTTCTTTGGGATCATAGCAGCCGCGGTGTCCCGGCATTAAGGCTTCTGCCTGCGCGGCTGCTTCGGTATAACAAAAATATTCAAATTACAGTATCACAAATCGAGTCTCCTTATTTATCAACGACATTAAGGCAAAGAATCCAGGTGTTATATTTGATTCAAATCTTTGATTTAACATACATGTGAATAGTATTATGAAGTCGAGTTATATGAACATGAAGCTCTTATATTATAATCGCCATACTCTAAACTGTAAGTGCCGTGAAAAATTGTGCGGAAGCCTCATATTGTCAATTTTAGCTTACTCTCTAGTCCTCATTTACACATGCTCAGACTCGGTTTGCAAGTCAAAATTACAGAAGCTTCAGAGCAACTGTTGCAGATTCATATTTGGCCTTACTAAGTATAGTAGCCTTTCTTAAAAAATCAAGCAGTTACAGAGGCTCCGAGTTGATGGTTTGTACAATTATTCCATGGCTTCATTGGTGCATAGAATTCTTAAAACAGGTAAACCCGTCTATTTATTCAATAAGTTGATTTCTCGTTGAAGCCAAATTACTCTAAATCTGCGGCACAATGATCTACTTTCCATTCCTATACATCGTACGTCAGTTTTTGAAAGGTCCTTTACTTATAATCCGGTCAAGTTATACAATTCTTTACCAGTTAACTCTAAGAGCTTGAGTTTGCAGAACTTCAAGAACACAGTCAAGTTGCACCTTCTGGGCTCAGCACATTGAGTGATAAATTGAGTGATATCCTTTGTATATGTTCATACTCTATATTTACTCATTTTTAATGTATTTCTTACAGTTACCGATTCATGTTGTTATGCCAATGTTTTGAGATGTCTGCTTGTAGTATGGTTAAATGGTAAATCATAGGTGGCTAAGCTTCGCCATACTATGATCATTTTCCGAATAAAGACATTATTATTATTAAATATTAGAGGTTTCTTAAACTATTTTGAAACCTGTATAGGCAAGTATTTGAACGATAAAACATATTTTTTACCAAACTAGGATGAAAAAGAGTTTCTGTTTCTCTCAGATCATGCTAGTTCATGTGTGTAGTCTTAAACTTGGTAAAGATAATATATAAATATTAAATATATAGATTGGGTGTGCAATAAAGAAACACATTTTATAAGTTATATTTTAGAATAAAGTTTAACTTAAAAATGTATTTGTTTCATTCATCCAATAAATAAAGGCATAATAACTATTTATTTATTATCGATGCCTTCCCATCGTAGTACTAATAAATACGAGGGATGTCTTTTTAAGTTTTGCATATGGAAATAAAACAACACGGTAGGTAGTATTAAATGACTTTATTGTTTTTCGAAGTATTCTCCATGAAGATTAATACACATCTCCAAAACGGCATTTTTGAATGCGTCAACTGCTTCTTCTGGTGACTGGAACCTTTGACCACGCAGTCTGTTTTTAATTTTCGGGAAAGTAAAGAAATTGTTAGGACTTAGATCGGGACTATATGGAGGATGGTCCAATAATTCCACGTTTTCTTCCATTAAATACTGCCTTGTTTTTTGGGCTGTGTGCGAGCTTACATTGTCTTGGTGGAGGATGATTCTTCTTTCGGGGTTGATTTTTCGAAGCTCGGTGATGACTTTTGGCAAACAAATGGTGGTATACCGATCCGCAGTAACAGTTCTTTGCTCATTAAGATGAATTGTTGCAATATGACCTGCTTTTGACACAAATGTCGCGACCATCTTTTTCGAAACACTTCGAGAACGGATGACTTTTGTTGGCTTTTCTTCACCTTGGAACACCCAAACACCCGACTGTCGTTTAGTTTCTGGTTCATAACAGTAAATCCACGATTCATCACCACTAACAATGCTGTACACATTTTTTGAGTTTTCGGAATTGAAACGGTCAAGCGTTTTTTGACACCAATTAATCCTGGCTGCTTTCTGCTCTTCAGTCAACAGGTGGGGTATCCAACGAGAAACTAATTTTATTACTCCTAATTCTTCATATACAATTTTTTGAATTGAGGTCTTTGAGATCTTCAAGGACGCCTCAATCTCGCGATATGTCACATGTCTATCTTCAATGATAAGTTTGCGCACAGAATCGGCGTTTTCCTCGGTGACTGCCGTTTTTGGTGCACCCACCCTGGGATCGTCGCTAAGACTCACCCGTCCACGTTTGAATTCTCCATACCAACGGGAAATTGTCGACTGATGTGGCGCTTCGTTGCCGAAAACAGACAGTAACTCAGCAAGGCATTCTTCTTGCGATAATTGTCTCTGAAAGTTGTAATAAATTGTGGCGCGAAAATGTTCTCGGTTGTGTTCCATTTTTCTAATGACTTGGTGACACTTAAAAATTCACTGTAGTGAGAACACTGCTCTTATTGTTGTGAAACTTTGAATTTAAGTTTACTAAAGATTGAGGTTAAGATTTAGTACTGACGTTCGATTCGCGCGGCCTACTATGCTTCTATATGCAAAACTTAAAAGAAATCCCTCGTACTACTCAAATTTTAGTGAGTTACTATTTTTTGCTGAGGAATGAATGCAATATTCTTCCTGAGTACTGTACTACTAGATAAAAATCTCTATCAGGCTCAAAATTTGGCGTTGTTCTGGAATGTCCATTGCTGCATTCATTTCGTAGATGTAGATTACATGAATTAACTTATTACACAAATATAAGAAAACTCAGAATAAGCAATGGTTAATATAGGAAGACCATATGATTATCCTCATATTATCAGCATGACGATACCTCTAAATAATAGTATATTAAACAGAAGTTTGTTGAGGCAAGGGTTTTCTTAATGACATGCTTGCCGAAAAGACCTTGAGACTGCTTCTTTGTTGAACGAAAAATTTTGCAATTCGAATGAGAAAAATGCACGGAAAGGAAAGGAATTTTGCATGAGTGACTACTGTGGTAAATATACAGCGTGTTCTTAGAAATGCGAAATTCCTTTAAGTTACGTATACTTCTTGTAGAAATGAGCAAGTTGTCATACATATGCGCATAAAAGTCGTAAGATCGCCTCTAGCAAAGGACCAGATAAAAAAGGTTCGCCGCACGCCATATAGGTAAATCTAACTGCTTGTTTATAAATTCAGTTTTAAAAAAACGTCTTTAAGATGTAGCTGAGTGTATACAGGTTATTTGAGGATTAAGCTAATAGATTCGATTATATGCAACAAGTCACAGGGGAGAATTTCTTATCAAACAACAGTGATTACTTTTCTTCAATTTGATTTTACTTTTTCGCAATTTTACCGCACATTTATTGTGCTACTGTTATTATGACTATATTTACAAATACCTTCGCAATATTAATACGGGTATGTGTTCCAGGTCTGAATCAATATTTATCGCGATTTGAGCAAACGATGGAAATACTCTCGCATATTTCAGTCAACGCACGATAAATATGAGCAAATATGCTTTTGAAACCAACGGTAAAACAAACATTGGAAATGAAGACTAAAATTAAATTCGCTGTGGCTGCTTCCTTTATCTATAACTTGTGAAGTTGGTTTAATCTTCAATGATATAAATACGAAGAAGTTCTAAGCTTTTCTCCATGACATCCCCACGCCATCCAGACGCTAGGCTTTTCCTCATTCTGAATACGTCAAACCCTGCATGTTGAGAACTTCCCGGTATAATTGCCCTTTTGTTAATATGGTGTCGAGATTGTGCATCAATCTATCTCAAGAGGTTTTCAAAGTTCTAATCTTAAGCAAAATCTTTATAGGAGTAGGAGTAGTAGTTTCTGTCTTCGCGGCTGCTTCAATGTGACAAGGGCGTTTCAACTTTTTTATTTGATCGCTCGGAAAAATTTTGATTCGATTTTTTTTGCATGATCAAATTATTTTAACAAATATGCATGTTGCTAGGTCTAAAATTGCGCCAAAAGTATATTGAACAATTTTTTAAACAAATTTCACAATTTTTTTTGTCATTTTGAATAAAAAAGGTTCTTATGATGTTCTCTTCAAAGTTGATAATTTTCGAGATACGAGGCCTGTAAATTAAAGGAGACTGGCAACGTAGCGCTTGATCTGGTAACAGTGAAGGCGCCTGGATTAGAGCGGATACAGGGAAACATGTGATGCCCTTCAGTACAAGTTTGAACTCGCTCGAGTCATTTGGTTGTACGTAGAAAGCCTTCATCTTCAAGAACAGATGAAAATATCGGGCTCTTGTGCGTTCAATTCATCGATTGACTGTCAGAATTATCGGGGAATAGTTAAATTTGACTCACACCACCGTTCAGCAGATCAAGAACAAGCGGGTGATGCATCGCGATAATGCTCCTTGTCACATAGCAAGGTTTACACCAACATACATGTTTTGGGATTTTTATAAAGGATGTTTGAAGATTATTTAGGATCTTCGACAATAATAATTTTTTTTCATAATATTTTTTTGTGGTAAAAAATGGCAGATTTTGCACATCTTCAAATACAAGCTCGCTTATATCTTGAAAACTATAAATTTGACAAGAGAGGGTTAATAAGAATCCTTTTTGTTCAGAATGACCCAAAAAAACATCTGAAACTTATCCTGTGGTTTATGTCGAAAATCCCCTATGCCTGTCTGGCCAATAAAAACACCTGGATTGACAGATGGCATATGTGGCATTGTGACAACCATAGGGGATTAAAGAAACCTTGTTCAGGGTGAAGTTTTGGGAACTTGATTAACATAATTTTTGGGCAGACAACGTACAGATTCGGCAAATGAAACTTTTCAAATAATATTATGCAAAGAAACTGTATCAGAATTTTTTCCAAGCGGATGTGAACACCTCCTGCACTATACGCGATTTTAGAGAATAAAATTATAATAATTTGAACGTCCAGTACGACATGTATCCCGCTTCCTAGGTGACCAAGTGCCAACACTCGTAACATTTGACAGCTTCTGCAAAATCGAACTCGAAAAAAATCATTGAGCTAGAATGGCTGCCGCAGCGCTTCCAAAAGTAGTGGCTCAATTCAAGAAAATCGCACCCCTGGCCAACAGGGTGTTGATAAAGAAAGCTGATCCTATCACTCAAACCAAGGTGAGTTATTCAGATGGAACTTTGACAAAACTACAAATTTTTGTTAGTCATTCCTACAAGTAAATGTAAGTGGGTGCACCAAAGTAATTTGGGCTGCTGAATTTCAATATGGCCGTAAAAAACGGGTTGTTTGGGAGCCCCCGTGTATCTTAGCATTACGGTGATGTCGGAATCGGAATCTACGTGCGGGATTTTGTAACTATTTTTATAGGAAAGCTAAAAATATTTAGAGGACTTTGGAAGGCAAAATTTCCATTTTCGTCAGCTGTTCCAACAACTAGGTATGAATATTGTTTTTTGGATGCTATATGGCCTGTACATCGCAAGAATCTCGAGAAATGTCACTCATTTCCGCTGGCCTGTGTGTCTCTCTGTCAGTTTGCTAAACCTTGGACCTTCCACAACTTGGAATGTACCGAGGAGATTTTGATGAAATCTTCACACAATGTTATTATGAGAAGGTCGAAAAAGCTTTGTAGTTTTTGAAAATCGGTCCAGTGGCAGCAAATGAAAAATTAAAATCGCTCAAGCTCCGTTTGTTGACGTTTCCGAGACTCCTAATGGTTTTTGAAATTGTCTTTCAGGGATAAAATACGGGGGGGGGGGCGATGATGAGGGCGTATCTCAATTTTTGGAGTCGATATGTTCATATACTTCTAATTCCGGTAATTATACGCACCTATTAGACATATTTCATACATAGGGTGCGTTTTGCATTGTTCCTACTTGGAAAATATTCATATTTTTACAGGGCAATTCATAACCTCGTGGTGACCCATTATTTTTTTCAAATGGAAAGCCAAACATTAAATTAGATATAGATTTGGATAGACCGGAGCAATTTAGTATAACATAATATAGGGTTTTGCCTACACCACACTAAGAACTCACCCTGTAGATTTCCCCGTATAAGACATAGTAGAGATAAACGGCAACGTTCCCATTGCTTTTCAAATGGGTTTCAGCGTCAGCAACATCATGCCATTAGTTTGTTTCAGTGTATGTGACAGAAATGTCTTGTTGGAGATAGCTCACTGTCTTTTTGACTGACTAATTTATTTGTTATACATGTTCTTGGTTGACTTTTTCCTGAAAGTTGCTAACTAACGCCAATTTTTTTATGGACTGATATTAGCGTTGCGTGAAAAATGTAGAGTCAACCTACTTGATGCCATTGTTTCTCATATTCACTGTTAGAACCAAATACTATACTTTTTGTTAAGCAATTTTTTCCTTTAACGACTTTCGTAAACAAACATTCAAGGAAACCAGAATCGCCCCGAAACTGTTTTCCGTTAGGGGAACTTTTAAGCACTCTACTGGATCGTTGTAGGGCGGAATAGTGTTGCCAGACCAAACTAAAACTAGAATCCACAGAGGAACAGCGATCGCTGTTGGTCCAGGCGGAAGGAATGACAATGGGCAAGTAATCCCAATGCAGGTGAAACCAGGAGACGATGTGCTTCTTCCCGATTATGGGGCCACTAAAGTCGAGTTAGAAAAAGACGAAGTTTATTTTATTTATAGGGAAACTGAGATATTGGCAACGATTCCTGAATGAAGTGTTGTTTACGATGGTTGAATAAAATAATTTTGTAATTTAAGATTCTCATTGTTTAATGTAGCTTCTAAAACTAAAGAACATGATCATTTTTGGCTTTTCTGTTGCCACCATGGAAAAAGCTGCTATAGTAGCCGTAACGTTGTTTTTAACTATTGATTATTCCAAGCGTAAAATAATAGAAACTTATGACAGACATTTTCAAATTCGATGAGCAAACAGGAGAAAATGGGAAGAAGAAACGAAACTATTACTAACGAGTATAAGATGGCCTCCATCCAGTCACAAATGGTAAACATTGCGATTAAATGTCTACCTATAAAATTGTTGCTCGTTTTTTAATTTTAGATCAAACTAATCGCTACAGTAGAGTTACGTTGCGTTATGGAAACGGAACCAATGATACCAGCGTGCATTGTTGATACAGTTAGTTGGAATCGCTTTTTTTAGATGTCTCTCGAAACATGACGCTTCCTTTAAAATTTCGGTTTATGAAAATAACTTTAAATCAGCAATGAACCCAGAACTGTGGCCCCAAGGTTGTTATGTACAACGTTTTTTCTTTCGGAGAAAAACAGTCGAATCAACCCAGTAGTCTTTGATCCTAAATTACTTCTGTTAAATCTAAATAGGATAACGTTTGACAAAATTGATGAACTATCGATTGAAATGTCTATGTTCAAAAACGTGTTATTTTATTGCTTTAACGAAACATGGTCTAATGGTCAATCAATGGTAAGCTATAAAATTGATGGTTATGAATTAGCAAGTTTTTATGCCCGAACTAATCAGAAAAGAGGTGGTGTTGCTATATACATTCGTAAAGATTTACAATACAAGCCAATAGATCTGAATAAATATTGTTTTGAATTGGACATTGAAGTTTGTTCAATATCTTGTACCATTTTAGACAAAAAAATTAAGATAATAAATTGCTACCGTTCACCTAATGGTGACGTAGGCGTATTTTTAGAAAAAAATTGAAGAAATTTTAAATACTGTTGTCGATCCTAATTGTTTATTGCTTGTATGTGTCGATTTTAATTTTAATTGTTATGAGTCAAAACCCATGTAACAGATACTCAGTTCGTTTCCTGTGTCTATGATAATACAGTTTCAGATCACAGAACGACTCTGGGGGACTTCGATGTTTGCTCCAAGAAATCGGACAAAATTTACCTGAACAAAAGAAGTTTTCATCAAAACGCAATTAGCGACTGTAAAGAATCTTTATTAAACGAATCTTGGGTGTCAGTTTACTCTAGCTTTACAGTTTCTGAGTCGTATGGAAATTTTTTTAACATCTTTTGGTACTATTTTAATAATCATTTTCCTTTGCATAAAGCCTGTAAGGGAAACGGCTCAAAAAGTTGGGTTACACATAACGTAAGATATTCAAGCAATAATTTGGAAGATTTATATCATACTTCACAAGTAAATCCAAGACTAAAGTCACTGTATAATGATGCAAATAAGGCACATAAAAAATTTATCAGAGACACAACAAGATCATTCTACCAAAACAAAATTGTATTGTCTAAAGTTCGAAAAAATATAGTTCTACATAAAGATCAAAATGAAAAAGTGTACGACCCTCAGCTGTTGGCAAATATGTTCAATGATTTTTTTAAAAATGCTCCAGATGATATAATACAAAAAATTAATACCTCAGATAGTGCACCTGATTTCAAATTTAATGTCAAAAATTATTTCAAACTTTACCCTTATACAGATAATGAGCTCAAGTTACTGAGCTTTTGAAAAAATTAAAAAATTCCAAATCATGCGGTTTTGATGACATTCCCAATTTTCTGGTAAAAGAAGTACTACATCTTATAATAAAACCAATAACACACCTTAATATCTCATTTTGCTGCGGAGAGTTCCCAAGTAGGCTGAAACTAGGCAAAGTTATACCAATTCTAAAAAAGGGGAAAGAGCTTGATATTACAATCTACAGGGCAATCACTGTGCCGTCTGTACTTTCTAAAGTGTTTGAATATGCCTATTTGGATAGACTTCTTCTACATCTTAAGAACAACAATATTTTGTCTCAAAACCAGCATGGTTTCACAGATGGTAAGACCACAATGTCACATTCCTTTTATGAGAAGCTTATAGAATACATCGACGGGGGCGAGTGCCCTACTGGGGTATTTTGTGATCTCAGTAGGGCATTCGACTGTGTTGATCACAATAAATTCTTGGAGATTGTTGTTAAATATGGTTTTGTCGGTCAGTCTCTTAAATGGGCCAGATCGTTTTTAGTCCAAAGAAAACAATATGTTTCAGTAGAATATCTTGATGCAGGGAACAATATGAAAAACTTTGTGTCAAGTACGTTAGACATCTCGATTGGAGTCCCTCAGGGCTCTATTCTTGGACCAATCTTTTTCCTTTTATAAATTAATCAGTTTGATAATGTTCATCCAGATACCCATTTTACAGCATATGCTGATGACGTTTCTGCCATAATAACAAGTAATTCAAATATAATTTTGGAAGATAAATGTAACAACTTAATTAGGAATATCAATACATGGTTTAACCAGTACTCACTTTACTTGAATCCTTCCAAAATAACGCTTATTCGTTTTCATCATGCTCAAAAACTGTAGAAGGGTTTCAAGTTAGATTGGGTGACGATCAACACGATTTTAGAGGAGAAGTGAAATTTCTTGGAGGTCATATTGATTCGAACTTAAATTGGAAGGCCCACTGCGAATTTCTCACATCAAAAATGTACTCTCAAAGCTATGTGTTGAGGGAATTAAAAACCATCTTAACAGCTAAACAATTGATACAAGCTTATTTTGCTAATGTGGATTCGAGATTAAGATATGGAGTATGTTTCTGGGGTTGGTCGACGCGTTCTGAAGATGTATTTGTGTCTAAAAAAAGATGCATCCGATCATTAGCAGGCATCTCACCAACAGAAAGTTGCAAAAAATATTTTATAAGTTTCAACATTTTAACTGTCCCTTCGTTGTATATATATGAATTGTGCTTACATGTTTTTAAAAATAATGAAAAATTCAAGCGGAATTGTGATATGCATAATTATGATTCAAGGACTTGTAATAATTTATATGTAAACTTCAGCAAATCAAAAGCGGCATTTCGATCACCTAATAAAATTGGTCAGCTTCTTTTTAATAATTTACTAAGCCACATTGCCTCTGTTAAAAATATTAATGACTTGAAGTTCCAATTGAAGCAAGTACCAACACTGTACTACTCCATGAGCCATGTACTAGTAACTGATATAATAAACCAGCTTATGCGATGAGATGTACCTATGTACACTACATCCATGGCATGGAATTAACTTCCGAGGCGGCGCGGCGATTCGAACCCGCGAGCTTCTGGTTGCTAGCTCAACATGCAACCAGGGAGCTACCGAGGCTCCCATAAAAGACCAAAAACTAAATTAGTTTTGATTTGCAGGGCGGAATCGTGATACCAGAAAATACCAAAGAACGAATCCGAAGAGGTTACGTGGTAGCAACCGGTCCAGGTGCCAGAGGCAATAATGGTGAGAAAATTCCAATGAGCGTCAAACCTGGCGATGAAGTGCTACTTCCTGATTACGGTGCTACCAAATTGGAGCTGGGGGACGATGAAGTTTATTATATTTACAGGGAAACTGAAATACTGGCAAAGATTAACGAATGAGTTTGTGTTTTGATGTGGTTCAATAAAATGATCCAGTAGTTGACTGTTATGGATTTTAGTATTCATGTTGACTGGCGAGGAAGCATTGTAATGAAAAATCTAGAAAATGAAATATGGTTTTTCGATGTTACCTCATGAAAAATCGTATAATTAATTTCTGAGGATCTGTCCGCTAATCCTTGACCGCATTATAACTTGGCAAGGCTGGATATTGACGAAATTTTCATACAAAGTTAAGATTATGCTCAAAGCAAAAAGCTTTGTAGTTTTTGAAAATCGAACGCTCAAATTCGTTTTTTGACAATTAAGCAATTTAGACATCAGCATATTTACACGCGTCCAACCACGGTAAATATACTCGATTAGTAGACATATTAAATTTAACACATCAAAGACTTAATATACGCGTCGCACGCAACGCAACTAACGTAGTTACACGCGTATCTGGGTCTCACCGATAGGTGGCATCATAGTGGCTGGCAAGGTTGCCACATTGTCGGTACTGTCAGTAGGGCCGCGAGGAAATTTCTAGATCGTAACGTTGTCAAATGGGTCCGGGATACGGACTAATTGTATGGACCTAATTGACTAACTTGATCCATTCAATTTTCTTATGAATCAATTACAGCGTTGCGTGGGAAGCGCAAATCCATTTTTTTAAGGATGATGCAATTTATCCCCGTTTTCGTATATTGAAAGCGAAGTCATTATGTCGCCGAAGGATTGGGACTTGATTTGAATTCCGGAACCACACATTTCATACCAAGCTACAACTTTAGAGAATGAAGGTTTTCCTTACATCTAACGATATCCCAACCTACGCCAATAAACTTGTATGTTATGCTAGGAAGTATTACAATTTTGGTGCAAAATCAGTTATTTTGATTCCTATCCACTATACTTAACACTATTGATTGTTTCAACTTATTCGTATTGCGTCCAAGCTTGAAATTCTACCTGTTCACCGAAGCGTGTTCTATGTGCATAAACTGATTCTAAAACTGTGTAAAAAATACTATTTTGATTATTCTCAGTGCTACGAGGCAAATGGCAACTTGAATAACAATGAACAATGCGTGAGTCGTGCTTAGTTCACGAAGAAAGAGAACCGTTACATCTTACCTTGTTTATAATTTACATTGAAATCTGTATATTCCATCAAGGTTTGAAAATATCATTGTTGTCTTACAGAATATGATTACAGATAATGCTGGCACCGTAAGATGTTTGGACCTAATGAACTATGGTATCAGACATCTACAAGAGGTAACGTTGCATTGCAGTAATAAGTGGTGTCTTAGGTATACAGGGTGTATCAAAACTCTTATAATTCTATTTGTTTCCCAGAATCAGGATTGGAGCCAAAACAAGTTCCTGAATGGATGGCCAGCCGTTCCTCTGGGAACGAAAGCTGAACTTCCCCTTTTTCGGGTATTATCATGCTGCCTCTTGTATCCGGATCAGTTGTAACGAAAAAAATCACAATCTGCAATTGCAAAATTCACACTAGGTAATATACTGTGCTAATAAGATAGATACTATGAGAGCTATCTACGGAGGAATAGTGCAATGGCTGTTTTGCTGATATTTTCCTGAAGTAATGCAACGATTTGTGGGTCAATAACTATAAAAATAATAATATTTTTATTTCTTCACCAGAAGACAATTTGTTACAAAACGTATCGGGATGGACAAGGATGGAAAAACGAATTCATAACTAATATAGGAATTTAAAAATGGAATATGCACATTAAAAGAAATTATGTAAAAAACTAAGAATGGAACATACACAAACTCATGATACTACATTACATTTTATAAGAACAGAAAGAATTCATCAACGCTATAAAAACATTGATCAAATAAACATTTTTGAGTGACTTCACACACAAATTAAAATTGACAATCGAGTTCCAGGTAATGCGTTGATATATGATCGTTGTACCTACTAGGGGAATTTACATGCAATTTTTTCCGCCGAAAAGACGGCCGTTTTTGAAACTGACAGGAGAGTTTCATAACTGATTGTTATCTAAGCTGTGCCCCTACTATCTGAGGAAATACCATTTATGGAAACAAATTACTGTCGATCATTCAGGTAAATGATGATCTCCAAGAACCTAATGCCAATCTAGCCAGTTTGTCCAACAATGTGATCTACACAATCAAATAAATTAGAAAGGTCACAAAAACGGACATTTTCCGTTTTCAATATAATTAATCAGCTGTTCATAGAAAGAGTGTATGGCAATATTGGTATACCTGTTTTCCTGAAAATCATGTTGAATATTTTAAACAATGTCATGTTTTTGAGTATATCCTAAAAATCTATATAAAAATGAGAATTTAAATATTCTAGAGAATCCAGATGGCATTACTATTGGTGTATGATTGTTTACTGATTGGATGTCACCTTTTTCACAAATGGGGACTAATTGAGACAGGTACTCAAGGGTTCAGGAAAAGTTCCAGTTATGAAAGAAAAATTGACCAGATACGTAATATGAACTTCACCATACCCACACGAAAGCTTCTTCTTCATTTTTCTGTACATGTATTGTATATATGGAAAAAGAAATACAGAAGCAAGTATGTTATTTGTAGGTGGAAGGGTCTATTCTCTATTACTCGAATCGAAAAGTTATGAACGAAATTACTTAAGATATTACATGGCGCATAATCCATACATATGTTGCAGGCTCGTAGGATGATATACTACCGAAAGAATATGACCAAGTATAAAGATCGTCTCCTGTAGCTTGTCTATGCAACGGACATCAGTACTATTTGGTAAATTATGTTTATGAGTTTCGGAAGATTCGATGGGGTTAGCAAAACGGGATGCAAAACGGGAAACTGAAAGTAGGGAAAGCCCCGGGTCACGACGGAATAACAGCAGAGATGGTAAAGTATATGGAAGACAGGAAAAAGAGTATTTTTAGAGCTGTTGAGTAGTGGAAGAGAACGAAACACCGAAGTTAGCAATGTTACTACCATTATTTAAAAAGGGAGATACAAAGGTATGTGAGAACTACAGAGACATTTTTCTATTAAGTATACCCGAAAAAGTTTATGAGAGCATACTAACCGAAAGACTGAAGTACAACCTGAACGAAGCATGTTGCATGGATTCAGGGAAGGGAGAGAAACACCGGATGTAATATTTATAATAAAACAACTCATAGAAAGAGTAGTAGATAATAACGAAACAATATACAGGGTGACTTTGAAGTTGAGTCATTAATTTTCAGATAATGATTGTAGAAGGAAGATAAACCAAAATATGTGTGTAAAAATAAAAAAAAAATAAAAAAAAAATGTTACCTTGTTTAATAAAGTATCCTCCCGACAAGTATTTCAGTGCGGACCTGTATTTGATCGTGCGGTCTTGGAGCAGCATGCCCTCACCTGTGAGGTCTTAAGTCACCTGATTCACGAGCCCTTTGCACTACATTAACAAAGGCACGAGGGGTTGGTTGCACTCGATTGGGAAACCGATTCGCATAAATCCGTGATGCATCCGGGAGCATTTTGTAAAGACTGGCCCCCCGTAAATAAGAATCATGTCCACAAGTTCAGCATTTTCGTAAACATGTGCCATTTTTGATTTCGTTTGAGCCACGCAACACACTACTATTCACTCAGGATTTATCGACTGACGAAAAACATCGTGATAAACGTTTCAAATTCTTTCGCTTTTTTGTTTCCGATGCGATGAACCGGTCAGGCGGATTATATCCGTTGTCGCCAAACACGAGCATATAATAGGCAGGGCGGTACTCAAACTTCCAAAGGGCTATAACTTTGTTACTTTAATTTTACCAGAAAAATGGTAAAGGAAAAAAACATTTCTTTTGATCAGATCTACTCACTGTTAAAATAAATGACTCAACTTCGAAGTCACCCTGTATATATGCTTCATAGATAGGTATATCAAAAGCATTTGATTCAGTGGATAGAATGGGCATTTGGAGTATACTGAACAACTATAATGTGTGCAAACATTTAATAGAAAGCATACAAAGCCTATATAATACCGACAACTATGTAAAAACATAAAATAAAAAATCAGGAAAAATTACAACTACATCAGGAGTAAGTCAAGGAGGAACGTTGAGCCCATTTATCTGTTCACAGTACTAATGGATAAAATTATAAAATAATGTGGAAACAGAATAAGAAAAACAACATGGAGCTACTATAATATGGAGAGGGTAAACATTAACCTACAACATAACCTTGAGGTATGGAATGAGGAAAAAATAGAAGATAGAATAAACGCAACTACAAGATTATATTTCCACCTAAATAAACACCTATTCAACAAAAAAGACAAAAGCTACAAAAACAAAAATAAGAGTGTTCAATTCACTGTATATCCCTATCCATATGGTTCAGAACTGTGAATATTGAGTAAAAGACAGAGACAGAAAATACAAGCAAGTGAAATGAAACTTCTAAGAAGAATTGCGGGTCTGAAGATTGGGTGTCATATCTGTAGAAAAAATAATACAAGTGAATGCGCTAAGATGGTGTGGACACATGCTTAGAATGCCAAATACACGATTGGCGCGAAAAGGGTCTGGAGAATGGAAAAATTCAAGAAAAATACGAAAGGAAGACCAAGAAGGAAGTGGAATGACAAAATACAGTTGTACTTAAAACAAATGCATTTGGACTGGCAAGTAGTAGAATGACTAGCTAACGACAGAATAAAATGGAGAAAAAAAATAAGAGAAATGTAGAAAGATATCAACCTATACACTGGCTAGATCCGGTAGAAGAGGAACGCATTAAGTAAGTAAGTAATAAACGTCCCGTATTCAGGAGTACGATGAACCTAGGAGGAAGAATAATATGTTTCGGAAACCACCAGGTGGCACCTTTACTTAGAAAATAAACAGTAATTACATATTTTTTTCTATGGCATGCAGGATACTGTACATCGTAATTACTGCACATCTACCTTGACTGTATTGTAAAGTCAACTATCATTTTTGTGGAATAAAGGAAATCATTAATATGTATGGATGATGTCTATCTATGTGT